CTCAGCTTCTGCCTCAGTAAGAGCTCTTAGCCAGTGAGCATCTCTCTAGCCTCTTCTCCGAGGTTTTTAATTTGGTTGGAATCCAGCTTATTCTTCTCTTGTTGCCCTCTATCCAGACATGGCAGGTGTGATCGTGCACTTCTGTAATCACAGCACATGGGAGGATCAAGAATTCCAGGCGAGGGGCTGGAGGGATGGCTCAGCTGCTCTTCCTAGAAGACCCAGCTTTGATTCTCAGCACCCACATGGCAGCTTACAGTCCCTAGGGATCTAACGCCTTCCTCTGGCTTCCATGGGCGCCAGGCACACAAGTGGCACACAGACATGTATGCCAACAAAACACATACACATAAATTAAAAAAAAAAATCCAGGCCAGTCTGGCTACATAGTAAGACCACATTACCATCTTATTTTGATTTATACAGCTTTATAGTAAGCTTTTAAATCATGAAGTATCAGCTAGGTGTGATGGCACACACCTGTAATCGCAGCACTCTGGGAAGCAGAGGCAGGCAAACTGCTGTGAGTTCGAGGCCAGCCTGGTCTACGAAGTGAGTCCTGGGCAGCCAAAGCTACACAGAGAAACCCTGTCTTGGGGGAAAAAAAAAATATCATGAGCTAGAGAGATGGCTCAGAGGTTAAGAGCACTGGCTGCTTTTCTAGAGGTCCTGAGTTCAATTCCCAGGAACTACATGGTGGCTCACAACCATCTATAATGAGATCTGGTGTCCTCTTCTGATGTGCAGGTGTGCATGCAGACAGAACATTGTATCATAATAAATAAATAAATCTTTTAAAAAATCGTGAAGTATGAGTTCAATATTTTTCTGGTTTTTAGAGTTTTCTCCTCCTTCGGGGTCTTAGGATTCCATATGAATTTTGAGAATAGGTTTTCTGCTGGTAGGGGAGGGATCTGAATTTTGAAAGACTTCATTGACTGTAAATTCTTTCAAGCAGCACTGCAGCGTTAAAAAGATAAGTCTTGGGGCCTGGAGAGATGGCTCAGATGTTAAGAGCATTGGACTGTTCTTCCAAAGGTCCTGAGTTCAATTCCCAGCAACCACATGGTGGCTCATAACTATCTATAATGAGATCTGGTGCCCTCTTCTTGCTTGCAGGCACACATGCAGGCAGAATACTTATAAATAATAAATAAATCTTTAAAAAAAAAAAAGTCTTAAGGCCAGGCATGGTGGTGTAGGTAGCTCTCTATAGGTTTGAGACCAGCACGGTCTGTATAGTGAGGTCCAGGCTGGCCCAGGCTACACAGTAAGACTCTATCTTTAAAATAACTAAAGAAATAAGAATAAGGTTTGCAATCCAAGAACACAGAATGACGTTCTATTTATGTAGATTTCCTTTCAGCAATGTTTTGTAATTTCCATTGTATAAATCTTTCTATCTGAATATCAGATTGTTCACTGCTGGTGCCACTGTGGTTTTGGCTTGCATTTTTCTGATGACTAATAGTGGGAAGCATCTTTTCATATGCTTATCAGCCATTCAAATACTTTCAGTGGTGAAGTCTCGTCTTTCTAGCTCAACCCTGTGTTTCTATGATTACAAAGAACAGCTCCTGCACTTCCCTGACACCTTTCTTCCTTTACCCTCTTCTCTGCTTTTTCTTTTGTAAATTTGTGTAGGAAGTTTTTTTAAAGGATGTATTTATTTTATGTATACCAGTGCTCTATCTGTATGTACACCTGCATGCCAGAAGGGGGCCCCAAATCACATAACAGAGGGTTGTGAGCCACCATGCAATTGCTGGCAATTGAACTCAGGACCTATGGAACTGCAGACAATGCTCTTAACCACTGAGCCATCTCTCCAGCCGATAAGTTTGTTTGTTTGTTTTTGTTTTTTGTTTTTAATGAAAATGTAACTGAGTTACAGATACTTGTAAGTAGCCAGGTATGTGGATGTTGGGATTCAAACCTGGTCCTCTGGAAGCACAGCCAGCACTCTTAACCTCTAAGCCATTGCTCCAGTGGCATTCCACTTAAAAGCCCTGTGGCTTGAGCATGGTATTTACCATTTCTTTTTAAGCTTCAGGTTTAAAATAAGGCTCTCATTAAATACACTGAGTTGTTTTTCCCAGACCATAGACAAGCAAAGGGTCAGACTTGAGAATATCTCATGAACAAAAGAGACAAGCACTGTCCCACCTGGTTTCCAGACTAGCGAAACCCTCTAGTGAAGTCTTAACTGTGACAAACGAAGGAGTGAGTGCTACATGTGAGGCTGGGGGCAAACTGGCCTGACAGAGAGAAGGAGGATCCCTAATCCAGAGCAACTCACTGAGGAGGCTGGTGTGAATGGGGCTTTTGGATTAATGGGGAGTGTAAAGGATGAAGACCAGTAGCTAGAGCCTGGCGTGGGGGTGCACACCTGTCAAGTGTCCCAGTACTTGAGAGACAGAAGGAAGGTCAGGAGTTCAAGGTCAGCCGCCAATACAGAGCAAATCTGAGAACAAGCTGAGCTATGTGAGACCATACTGGTTATGCTGGAGAGCAGACCCGGCCGAGTGTGAAAAGTGCAGCTAGAATCACAATTTCATCTGAAGACTATGAAAGACTACAGAGGTATTTTAGGCAGGGAGATGGGCGGAAACTTACAGAGCCTGTGAGTGTGACATTGGGTAAGGCTCTGAACACATGGAAGGGCTAAGAGTGTGTACTGCTCATAATTACAAGGACCCCAGCACCCAAGCTCGCAACTGCCTGCAAGTCCAGCTGCATTCTGGCCTCTGCAAGCACCTGCACTCATGTGCACAAACCCATCACATTCAGAGACACATAATTAAAAAGAAATCTTAAAAACACAAAGATATGGAAGTGCTGAAGATATGGCTCCATTACAGAATGATTGCCTAACATGGGAAAGACTGTGGGTTTGATTATGGAAGGAAGATGAAGAGGAGGGAGAGGAGGGGGAGGAGGAGGAGGAGAAAGCACTTAGGAGGCAGGGGCATGAGATGGCTCCAGCTTAAAGCCAGCCTGGTCTACATTGCAGCTTCCAGCTAGCCAGAACTGTCCTGTTTTGTTTTGTCTGCCAGCGCTGACCATCACTCTGAAGCCAAATACCACATTTTGTCACAGCTCTGGGGAAAAGGTGCCTAAATGCCCCTAGCTGCTTTCCAAACCATAAAACACCATGATGAGGAAGTACGTACGAAGCGGGATTCCACAAGCAGTACTGGCAACTACCAACTTGGTTCATCCCGTTGATAACGGGGCTGTCCAAGTCAATGTGGCAGACAAGTCAATAAGAACACCAGGTCTCCAGGCAAAACCCAGACAAATGACAGGCACACAGCACTGGGCAAAGGAGTCTAGGGCATGAGGGGGAGGACAAGAGCAGCACCCAGACTTTTCCCCAGCACCCCTCTTTCTCCTAACACTAGTGATTAAAAATCTACATTAAGAACTGAGGGAGGCTTGGCAGTTAAGAGGAGGACCCGAGTTTGGTTCTCAGCACTCACACAGTTGTATCTCCAGCTCCACGGGCTCTGACACCCTCTTCTGGACTCTGCTGGCACATGCACCCACATGTCCACACACCCACACATATCTACAATTTGAAAAATATAAAATGGTCTTAAAAATCTGTATTAGAGCAGGGCATGGTGGTGCACGCCCATAATCCCAGCAGAGGCTCGCAGATCTCTGAGTTCCAGGCCAGCCTGGTCTACCAAGCAAGTCCAGGACAGCCAGGGTTACACTGAGGAACCCTGTCCTGAAAACAAAACAACAACAAAACTTTGTGTTAGGGGGCTGGAGCAATGGCTCAGCAGTTAAAAGCACTTACTGCTCTTACCCAGGATTCATTCCCTGCACCCCCATGGACAGCTTACAGTTGTCCATGACTCCCGTTGCCAGGGGCTCCAACATCCCTTTCTGCTCTCCAGTGACACATGCTGCACACACATTCGGGCAGACACACACTCAAACACACTGAAAATGTGTATTCCAACTTAATAAGTAAGGGTTGTTGAGACGGCTAAATGGATTAAAGGCACTGAGAGGAAGACAGACGGAAATCTATCAACCTGGATCACATATCCAACCCTCGAAAGGACCTGAAATGCTGGCATCAGAGCTTTCACGAGACCGAGGACTCTTGCCAACTCCTGGAGTCTCCAAGCTCGTCACCGAGAAGGGAAGGCCTGCCAAGCAGAAGCCTGCGGTTCCCTCGAGTTCTGTGGCATCCCGGTGGAGCTCAGCCCCGCCAGCGCCTTCTTCCTCCGCCGGGCTCAGTTATAAATAGCTCTCTGGGTTCCAGCCCGGGGTCTCCCAACCTCACCAGGAGCAGTCACCGCCTCCCACCCTGAACCGCCCTCGCCCGGTAGAAGGCGTTGGCCAGCAGAGGGCGAAAGGCAGAGGGGAGACAGAGGACCTCGGGAAGTCTGGTCTTCCCTGACCACTTGACCCAGGCTAAGGACAATGGTCAGACAAGAGGCTCCCAGGGCAGGGGTGTGGGACCTAACTTCTGGACCTTTGACAGCCTCGTGCACCCCATGCACAGGCACACAGGCACTCAAGACCACCTGTGAGGGACTGGCACACTCAGAACTAATCATCTGAAAGGCCTTAGCTGTAGTCACAGCGCCCTGTGTGCTTGGTAGCTGGTAAAGCCCGGAAGCTTGTAGATCGATTTCTTCTAGATCAAAACCAGTAAAAGGAAGGAAGAGAGAAAGTCTGGAAAGGGGAAGAGAGAAAGAAAGACCGACGTTGAGATGGTTCTGCACAAGTCTCCTGCCGCCAAGCACAACGATCTGAGGTTGAACCCGGAGCACACCTGGTCACACGTGGGACTTATTGTCCTCTGATCTCCACATACGTGCTGTGGCACACGTGTACACACACACACACACACACACAAATAAGAATTAAAAATGTAATATAAAAATAAACAAACACAGCAACGAGGATTCACAGGCTGCCTGGCGCTGGAAATCCCTTCTCTGACGCCAGGGCTCTCGAGATGGTTACCCGGCAACATGGAGGCTGGCTTGCCTCCCAGCAGTAAGTCTGGACTTGAACGACTGCGGTGCCAGTGCCTCTCTCAGACCTCTTCTCGGGACCGATCACCTCAGGGAGCCAGGTTTGAGTCTCGGCAGCTGCTGTAGCAGGGCCTGTAGGGCTTGCCGCCTCTTACTGCGGTGGATTAAAAGCTGCCAGGCGGAGCAGGAGAGGCCGGCCACTCTGGATGGTGGGGCACCTGGGGGTGGGGGCACTGTTGCTCTGTAGCTGGACACCTGGCTTGCTACTCCCCCACCCCACCCCTCCTCCATCTTCCCTCACAAAATTTAACTCCTCGTGTTGGGTTCTGGGGCTCCCGAACCTCCACGCCCCAGGAAACCTAGCGGGGGGGTGGGGGGGTGCTGTGGAAGCCTGATAACGGGGTAGTAGAGGTACGAGCTGGGAATGCAACAGTGTGGAAGGCCGAGGCTGCAGTCTGGACAAACCAAGGTGCACAGGGCTGCTAGGAGCATCGTCTGCGGACCTGGGGGACGAGGGTAGGGAAGGGTTCCCTCGGGCCGTCTGTCTCAACCGCTTTGGGGAGAACTTAGGAGCGTGGGCTCTCCCGCAGGGGTGTGAGGAAGGCCTTAAAGGCGGGAGCGGCAAGCAGCAGCCCGGCGTTCCTAAAAGACCCAGTGGGGGAGGGGGCGGGCGGCAGGACGAAGGGGCGGCCGTGGCTTAGGAGTTGCTGGCGGCTGGCGGCTGGCCAGCAGAGGGGTGCCGCGTGCCCGGGCGGGAAAGCAAACGGGGCCGAGGAAGCGGGTGGCGACGACGGGCCCCTCTGACCTTACGGTGGAAGGCGGCGCCGTCCGGAGGGCCTCTGCAGAGCGGCCCGTCCCGCGTTCCCCTCCTCGGCAGGGTCCCGGCGCCGCCGGCCGCCTCGGAGGCCGCGCTCCAGGCCGCGGGCAGCCCGCCAGCTCCGCCGGGAAGGAAGCACCATGTATGGGCCGACGGCGGCGAAGGAAACTCCTTGTAGGGCTCGGGAAGGAAGCGCCATAGATGGCGCGGGGCGGCCGGGGGCGGGCCGGGGGCGGGGAGCGCGGGGCCCAGGCGCTTCCGCCGCCCGCGGCC